CGACTAATCAATTGCGCGAATACAGCGCGCGCGGATATTCACTGTTTACTTTCAAAACATACTACTCACTGACAGTTTCGTTCCCTTCAAAGCGACAAGAGCACACCTTCAAATTTTCTTGTGAAGAATCCAAAGTCTTCATTTCAAAAATGGTAACATAATGTAGAAGGTTAAGGTTTGCACAGCCACTCCAAAACAGACTGTCCAGGATGTCTCACAACACTCAACTTGCAAACAGCCACCACCACATAAGCTTACACCTCACACAAGCGCCATGGTGACGAATCCCGAGTAGCGCACAAGACATTTCTTCAGAATCTCATGTCTAATTACATTAGGATAATGTTAAGAGTCATTCGAAGGCCCCCGTACTTACCCCATGTGCGATTGTGAAAGTAAACTTCGCCGCTTACACGCCTAAAACCACAGAAGGAAATGCACAACACAAAAAAGAACCTCAGACAAACATGTTCGGGAAACACAGATTGGAAAACTGCTGACCTCTGAACAAATAAATCCCTGATCCTTTTCCGGAATCGAGATGCTCCGAGCAGTCCTAGAAACAGCAAAAAGAATAAGAAAGGTGATGAGCTAACGTAACATCTGCGCGCAAAAAAGCTACCAACTGACATTTTTCACGTCGTCCGACTTAGAATCAGCGTCTTTGCGTAGTGCCTTTTGCCTAAAACAAGGGGATAAAGTGAGGATGAAGTGACACCGCCAGTTTTCGGCGAATGCTGTATTAACCTGTTCTGTCCAGACAAAAGATTCTCTAAATACTCCCAAAATCGTTCCAACGGAAGAAAAGCGTATTACAACATAACCCACCCCATCCAATACAAATACCAACCCGCTGTGCCTCCTTCACTGCCTTCCTTGCAGCGAGTTTCCCCTGCATGTCATTACAACGACTGCGCTGAGATTATTGCAGTGAAAGTAACGAAAGAAAAAGTAATCGGACTGAGCCCCTTGTGATACACAGTCGATTCATGTAATTTGCATGCTGGCGCATATTTAAAAAGAAAGTTTCCCGTTGAACCTTATAATCAAGAGATATACGCAGAAACAATTGGGCACAGTGGGGGTTCTGATAAAAAAGACTCCATCTTGGCAAGTATTCAACTTGAAGGAGTGAGGACTTCTTGCGTGCGTAAGCAATTCATTTATTACGGGTTTCCTTCCCCTGATAGGCTTAGTCTGGGCTAGGCAGACTCAGATCAGGCAGTGTGGCAATTTCGCATGAAAAATATTGTTTGCTTTGTTGTTCGTAAAAAAGCCCAGTTGTCGAAACAACAGAAGTGTAAAACATTGAAAATTTTTCGCGCGCCCATTCTTGGCTGCCCCCGTACAACGCGACAACAGTGCGACGGTTGAGCCCAGTGGTTTCTCGATCTTGTTATCTTTATCCACAGTCCTCCTGAAGACGCCACTCGGTAAATGAAAAAATTGTCAGGCGGTGCATTCGATGTGTGCGTTCTTTCTAGCTTGATGGCCGCTTTCGACTGCAGGCTTATAAGTTTTCCAGGCAGGCACGCAACTGGCGCTCAGTCGCCTTACCTGGGAACACAAGGGTGTGTGCCCCACGACAGTCCAAGCTGGCGTATTAACCCTTTGACGACCGCCGTTATGAATGCGTCACTTCACTTCTTTCTAAATTTTTTCATCAATAATCATTAACTCTCCAACAATTTCACTATTAGTAATTAGCGCATTATTCCGCGAATTCGATAATGTATTTGTGTAGTTTTAAAACGTGAAAAATGCCAAAATAAAACTCCTTTTCGATTTCATGGAAACACGTACATTAACAACTCGATCGACGAACTTATGCAGGTATTTCAGCATGAAGCAGCTGCGATAAGCCTTGATGAGCTCGTCGGCGATAGTGAACGATTTCCTATTTTGAAAACTGGAGACTATCAAGGAGAATGGTCTATCCTTGCTCTCGCTCGAAGTTATACGATTTCGGGATGATTTTGCTAAGGCGATACCAACTACGACACCATCCTGTTCGACATAAATTTTGCTGAGGTGCGCAATGAGCGAAAGGTCGTTTCTGGTGTAAACCCTGCATACATATCAGGATAACGGAAGTTGAACTATTGGGTTACGCAATTATCTGCCCCCTTGGAGATCAAGTGAACTGGATACGTCAGCGATTTTGCAGTAGCCGCTGGGCAAAAGCTATTGTACTACCGAGATCCCTCAGGATTTCATACCACCGCCACTGTCGGCCTGACGGTTAACCTCATGAATGATGATCATGCTCCCAGTGCGCTCAAGTAAACAGGATTTACTGGCACGAGGTGGAACATGAAGGGACGTTGCTCGAGTTAGCTCGAGTCCTAATCTCAATCCTATGAATAGCGGGGCAACAGATAATATACAATACATGCTATTACAACAACTGGAACAAAACTATCAGAAAACCACAACTCTAAATTCATGGTATATGTTACCGGCACATCTTCTAAAGGTTTTGCCGACGATGTCGTTGTACGCGGATCTGCCGTGGTGGGTGTGGATGTCGCGGTGAGGGAAGTTGACATGGAAGGTGTAGTTGTCCTGGTGGGCGAAGTTGTCGTCGTATGAGCAGTAGTGGTGGCGCGCCGAGTTGTCGTGGTGCCTGTAGATGCCGTGGTGCGCGAAGTATTCTTGTTACTCAAAGTTTCTGCGGTACGTGGTGTTTCGGATGTGAGAGGATTTCCCGGTGTAGTTGCCGATGAAGCAAAAAGAGTGGTAATATCAAAAGCACGAGAAGAGTTTTTAGAGGACGATTTGGTAGCGAAGAAATTAATCACTGGTTTTGCAGTAGTACTTGCCAGTGTGGGTACACCACGGGTTAACATACGGCTAACAGCTACCAACGGTTTTTTCGAAGTCATATAATAAAGCGTTGAGTTAAACATAAAACAAACACAGACTGTAACAATATTGAGGACATCAAACAGTTCAAAAACCTGCCTGGACGTGGTAGCTTTAGCATACCATGAATTCTCTTGGATCATGGGTCAGTTTGTGCGGCACCACTGCTGAGAGCCGACGAAGGTCGTCGCGTTGTGGAAATGGATCGAGTGCGAACTTTAACACAGCTTAGTCCGTGTGTCCGGAGGTTGGGTATCCTGAAACATGATTGTCAGCATGAAAACCTGTTTAAAAAATGCAATCATGTATTACTTAGCTGGGGTTGTAGTGGCAGTTTTCTTAGGAGCAGCTAAGCGAGTAACCAAAGCGCGTTCTTCCTCTTTCGAAAGGGTCTTTGTCGACACTGATACCGCAGAGTTCTGTTGTTGAACCAACCTGGAAACGCCTCTCTCAAGTTTACACCAACAATAAAAAATTGAACAGCCCAATCCGATTTCGAAATTCTGGCCTTTGAATACGAGACAGTGTTCATCAGCACAATTTCAATGGACTTCGCCGTACGCATCGGTCAGAATTTTCGAGATACACTGTACCTTATTTGCAGCATTTGGATTGTTAGATTTTCCCCGAAAATTAATTCCCATCGGTATTGTAGGAGGGCGGTGAGCTGGAGATAATCCCTATAATAACTCAGCTGTAATTCTACTTCCAAGATGATGTAACAGTGGTTACTGCTTCTTTATATTTTTCACAATGTGTACTTTACCTTACACGTTGTGAAAAATATAAAGAAGCAGCAACTACTGTTACAATTCCAAGTTTACATAGAACATAGATATTTTATATAGTATTGTTTTTACGTCATTTCTATCTGTAAACATGAAACAGCACAAGTACCGAGGGGGCGGGATAACGTCGAAGTTCCGCGCGGAAACCGACGCAACGGTGTGCCATCGCCCGGGTTTCTCGTTGGGATGGGAGAAAATTTGATTACAGATGACCGAGGTTTTTGCGGACGCTTGTTCTCCTTATGGCGCACGGAGTGCTGTGATGGAGTTGCGCCCTAAAATAGCTTTTTACAATATATTTTTCTCTATGGATGCACAACACTGCAGTTCTTTTCAGAGAGATATATTCAAAGAACTGAGCAAGAAGGGTAATCACTAAAACATCCTGAGTAATACCCTTGTAAATGGCTCCTCCCACAACGCATGTTGAGGACCATGTCAGACTTTGCGAATCCAATGATTCGCAAACGAATTGCAAGATACGAGCATTCCGTCAGCGAATCGAGCTACGTGCCAGCGGTTCGAACGATGTACCGGTGACTCGACATGTTTAACCCACTCGCGACCGGGCGGGATTTTCGAAGACTGCCCGTTCGGACCAGCGCCGGCAGAGACGATTGCGCAATGTCAGCCACCGGTGGCTGACATTGTCCCAGGGGAAATCCATCTTGTATTTTTTTAGTTTTTTCTATATATCATCCGTAGTTCACGCTGAAACTTATCCTATAGAGGTTATCAAGGGTCCTGATCACGATTATGGATCCATTTTTGGCGCTGGCGCCAGATGGCGCCATGACTGAATTTCGTCAAATTCGCTGTAAACTTGTATATAGGGGTTATTTGAGGCCCTGATCACGAATATGAGATTCATTTTTGGCGCTGGCGCCAAATTGGCGCCATTTGGCGCCAGATGGCGCCCTGACTGAATTTCGTCAAATTCGATGTAAACTTGTATATATAGGGGTTATTTGAGACCCTGATTACGAATATGACATTCATTTTTTTGATTGCCGAAATTTACGCCACTTGCTACGCCAATTTGCGCTACGGCGCCATTTGGCGCCCCTCTGGCGTAACAAAAACACTGATGGTCTTTACAATGAAGATTATATCTATTCCTGGTGTTTTTAGAGCAAATTGGGAAGCTCCAACCTAAATGCAAAAATTTTGTCATTATGAGGGATTGAACCTTGGACCATTTCCTCACCTTTTTTGGCCTTCGCGGGGCCGCTCAGCGAAAATAGACCTCGGTTTCGTAGTATACGCATGAGCTCCCATAACATACAGAAAACCGTTTCGAAAAAGCTTTCAACATCCTGAACGACCCCCCTTGTTAGTCCTGATTGGATCCAATAGTGAGAAGGTGCAGGCGAGCAGGAAACAGGTGTTAAATAGCGCTAACGATCAAAACGAATGTCATATTCGTAATCAAGGCCTCAAATAACCCCCATACGCATTTACAGCGAATTTGGTGAATACACCCTTGGCGCCAACTGGCGCCAAATTGCGCCAAAAATGGATATCATATTTGAGATCAGGACCCTCGAAAACCCCCATGGGAAAAGTTTCAGCGGAAAAAAAATTTTCAACTTTTTCGGTGAAATTTTTAAGTCAGGTTATTTTTTCTTCAATAAAATTCTAGTGGATAGAGATTTCCTTTGCCCAGGGGTGGCCTAGATAGATGAGGGTATGAAGATTCTTCACAGCAAAGAAAATCTCCCAGAGACCTCCTTTTGTTTTCAAAAATTCCATTTAAAGCCCGTCAGCCACCGGTGGCTGACATGGTCCGAAGTGGACATCTTCGCGTCAGCCACCGGTGGCTGACATTGTCGCGAATGGGTTAAAAACGGCGGGACTTAATTCGAAATCGACTCTCGCCATTTTTCGGGCTGAAGAGGGCATGCGTGTGAGTGGGAGGGCACGAGAGCTCGAGAAAGTAGCGAGAGCCAACGTACAAACCAGAGGGAGTCCCGCCACTTTCAAATAATGCCAAGGCATTTTTTCTTACATCTGGTGCAATGCTCGCACTGAGGTTCGCTGGTCGCAAAGTCTGACATCAACCCGAAACAAAACTCTCATTAATGGTACCATGATTTACCTTGCTATCTAGCTGTCAGTCACTCAATCACAGTATTAAACTTTTAGCAACCATGCGATTTTCCGCTGCCCACATTCACCCCCCCACCCACCCAAGAAAAATTCAAATGCTATCACCTGTATCACCTGTCGTCCCGTTGATCATCGAATTGCTCGAGCGGGCGCCAGCAACGTCTCCATTCGTCCCTGTCGCGTGCAAGAGTGGTCCAGTGGATCCTCCTCGCTCGAGGGACACGAGTCCTTCATTCCTTTCGTTCAGAGCTTTCGTGAAGAAGTCTGACCATCGGGCCGGCGGTCGTCCAGGTGTTCGTAAAACCCTAACAGCAGAACTCTTGCTGAAGCCGTTATGGAGACTGGAGCTCCTGACGTGCGTGTTGATTCACTGGGAATTCCAGACTGACGAAGAGCGCTTACTGAGACTGAGGAGGAACAGGTGATGCTGTCAGTGCGAGAAGCTGGGCGTGTTACAGATGACGGACCGAGTCACACTTGGGACACGAGTCACACTTGCGGGGCGATTCACACTTGTGGCACGAGGCACGCTCGGTAGCACGAGGCGCGCTTGTTGCGCGAGGCACACTTGAAGCTCGTGCAACACTGGGAGGATGTACCTGGACGTGTGACGCGTGGTGGATGCGTGATTGGACGGCGGATAGGGGGACCTGCGCTAGAGGAACGACGACGTGTTGCTCTTGAAGGACTTGCCCTCTCCTGGCCTAAAAATGGGTCCAATAGGTATATCATTACTATGAATCCCAGAGAAATCTACAGAAGGAGATTAGCCTACCTTTCGTGGGATTGAGAGCAGCTGAGGAACGTCCTTTATCGTCATCCTTTGTAATTGAGCTTGAACCGCGATGGTTCGGTCCCACACTTGAAACACGGCACTTAGTGTTCTATTAACTACGAATTAATGAAACAAATCAAATTGCCAAGGCCATGGTCGAAATGACGAAAGTTTGGGCAAAATTCTCCAATACCACTAGTATATTAATTTGCTTGAATTAGCTTAACTCGTCTTGACAAGCGCACATTGGGGTGGAGGCAGTTGGATGAAAGTAGTCTTCCAATGCATCAAAAGCTGGAATGCGTGGATTTGAGCAGGCGAGAGGCGCGTCAAGCACACTGCACCCACCCTCTCTTCAACCATTAGCTGGAGAAGAGAAAGAATTCGAAAGAAAACATAATGCGTTATATGGAATGACCGTGCTGTTGTGCAAGTAATAAGCAAGTACTAAAATGGCAGACACACCCCGGCTTATTTCCTTCTGCACACATAGGCCGATTCAGTGTAGTTCCAATACTTGACGGCGTTGGACGAGGCCGGGCCGACGATGTATGGTTTTCCAATGGAGCTTTAAAGCGAGAAACATATTTGTATGTGCATATATTAAATTAAACAACTGTAACAATTTTTTTGAGCGGAGAAGGAGTAGCTGCAAGTGTACCACTTTACCTGCTGCGGCTCCCGTCGCTGCTGCCTCAGCTCTTTGAGATCGACAAAGTACTGTTCGCTGCTTACCGAACATTGCCATCCTGGAAAAATCGGTGAAGGGAGACCCAGAAATCACAGTACTAGCGATTCGCGCGATTCGCAAAGTCTGACATCGGCCTATATGAACTAACTTATTTCAAGACAGCAACTAAACATCAACTAAGGTCTAAGCCAAAAGCCTATTGAGGTTGTTTGGTCTGACATGTCTCACTTTTACAAAATAGCCGTATTGATAGAATCTGAGATAGAACGGTTCCTAGAAACCACAAGTTACTACAGAATTCCAATACAACCTGATATCATTATACAATTATGTGAACTGAATATTCACATTTCGCAGTGAAGTACGTAAAGTATGATCAGCGGCACAAGACCGAGCATAACGTCGCGGAGGAATCCCAACACGTTCCTTCCCCCTCTTCTTTTCAGAATCCTTCCTATTCCGAAAATTTCCATTCCAGAGGGAGTAAAGGTGGAATTCCCCCATCTTTTTGAAATTCATCCAATTTCCGAAAGTAAAACAAACACCCAATTCAAGTGCACTCCTCTGACTCCTCCTGTGCAACCTCTTTCGAAGCAGGCATAGCATTCCCCCCCCCCCCACCTTCTTCCATCCCTCTCTCATCTCCTCGTAGCCTCACGCTTGCCTGATCCTGCTGCTCCCGCCAGGGCTACACGCTTCCAGTCAAGCAAAGACAAGGATGATAATGAAGCTTCTAACAAAGCAGCTTAATGGAACGCTGAGAACAAGGCAGTGGATCTGCACCGAACAAGGAGTCCACTCTCCAGAGATTGAGAAAAGAAGGGAGGAAAAGCATACCAGGTAAATCATGGCCAAATGGGTTTAAAAGCTCAAAGGGTTTGCCACTGGATAACAATAACAAGCACTGATGGTCAGTCACAGCACTTTCACAATGTGCACTCACCACAAACATCGATATTCAATCGATTAAAAATGTTTATGCAGTTATATCCATTACGAAATAGCAGAACTGAACCCGCAGGCTCGTGGGCCCTCCACACGTTAATCCCGACAAAATATGGCTGATGATTTCAAAAGGGATCGGATATTCCATTGAAGCATAAAGTAAAAATCATTGGGCGCCTATCAGCCCAATGAAGACGCGCCACGCACTCTACCTCATCTCAGAATCGTAGTGGCACTGGAATGCTATTCCGCCCATATCATGACTTTTAGAGCCAGTCGTGTTCAAGCCAGTGTTTTTTTTCTCAGACGAAAATTCCAACAATCAGCCAAGCTTGATGTTGTGAACTTTTGTTGGTCTGGACCACACAGTCAGGGATTTGTTCTTCAGACCTGTGTGCAGAGCTCGGCGCTAGATGCCAATATTACATATGATGAATGTTCTAAGCACATCATGATAAAGAATAGTCTGACGCTAAGAAAGCAACAGCTGTTGGGAACATATTGATGCACAAGCGTGACCGTTTTCCCTTCGGGAGAAAACACGCCAAAAAATGTACGAGATACAGGTGGAAAGAGTCTCTACTCATTTTCCATTCGTGGGCGCTCACGTCCTAAGGGGGGGGGGTAGGAACATTCGAAGTAGAGCACTTGAAAGCCGCTGTAGGACTCGGACTCCATGGGGAACA